TTCCACATGGTGACGAGACCATTATTGCTTATGAGGTTCTGATATTCTTATCACTGAAGAATAGTTCATGTTTGCCCGTAAAAATTATGCTATGAACGCAAACGATTAAATTGCGTACTAGTTAAATTATACGAAGAATCTCTAAGACGTTATTATTCATACCAAACAATTTATGAGTAGACGACTAATTTCCATGTCTGCACTCTCCAGACCGGCATTTGACTAAACAGATCCAAAAGACGACTGTAAATTTACCTTATTCTTCGAATCAATGACGGGTGTATATAGTGAAGGAATGATATTTTGTAGTATGCTATGCCTAACGTTGATGCGATGAAAAGTAGGCCAAAGAATGGTTCATTTGGTAAATTGACAAAGTGCAGAGAGTAAAGGAGGATGGCAAAGAATGTAAAAAAGTGCAAGGAGATGTATATGCGCAATGACAGATGACAAGAAGCGAACAACGAGGCGATTGTACTTGATGCATTCAAACGCTACGTCTGAATAGCTTTCTTTTTACACCGGAGGAGTGCGGTAAATTTGCAAGTATTTTGTAATTCCACGCTCCTTTCTGCGACTTTGTTACCACCTCGACGTTGCTACCTTCGTATGTGACCTGACCTGACTTCAACGCTGAGTAAGACGACTATATATGCGTGCTTTCTTTCCATAGATAGTTTGAGTGGACTGAGCATGTGGCTACGGATGTTGAAGGCATTTCGAGATTCAGGCAAAGGCAAAATTTCAAGATTCAATCAAAGTGCAAATGTTCAAGATTCCGTCGTTAATAATATTTTTTTTAACGATGGCAAGGTCACGCGATTTTGATGTAGTTATTTTATACATGTTATTTGAGAATGCATTATGCAGGGTTTAACCCCTTATGTTTAGTGTCACATACGATTTGCATGCAACGGTATATTACTGTTCACTGATTTCATGCTTTCGTCATCTGACAAAAATCTCATAACATGTCTTCATCACACACAGACCCAACTTGCACGAATACATCCATCGCACTGCACTGTTTGAAATCAATTTCTTACTGTCGAGACCTTGACGTTCTTCTCAACCAGCAACGCAAAAGTTTTCTCGTCCTCCGAATTCGTTTGTTCTTTTTCATAGAGATCTCAAAGGCCGACTACGATCACAATTCCATACAACGACACCAGGTGTCGAATATTGGTCAAAGAATACTTTGGCGTCCGTCCCAAGAGCGACCTTTCCCGGTTATGGTTATAGACCGACAGAGAAAAACTAAACAGAGGAAGGGAATGAGAAATTCTCGTTCGGAAATATAATGTTTTGTGGGCCGTCGAAATAATAGAGTTCATGACGCGCACGGAATTATCAGAGATACCAATCGTGCAGTACTATTCAAAACGTAGATAGATGTACAGAGTAAATGATTGCTGTTGTGTCAATGATAGTAGCGTGAATACTTGTATAATTTCTGGTTCAAATGACTTTTTGTATTCAATAATACGATAAGCTTAATCCAGTTTATGCATTTTAGATATGATAAAATATATGTATAATCTAAGTTAGGTAGGAACTAATAAGGAGGCATAAGACGTTTGATTAATCGTATTATTGTATTTCATGGGGATAAAAGTATTATAAACGCTAAATTTTCGCTAATACTCTTGACTTATTGCATGAGTTTTGGTAGAGGGTTAGTTTGTTAAACTCTAACCGGCAAAGATTAAGTTTTCGAATAATTTCTTGTTGTACAAAGTTAGCAGGACAGCATACCATCGATCTACGGAATAGAATTGTGAAAATAATGCTCTTTCAAGAAATGCTAGAATACGATTGTTTATGTGGCTGCGAATATAGAGGTGTATTATCAAGAGTAATCCCACTTTGACGAATGCGCCAGGCGAATATTTTGGTAATTGTCACAAAATTTATCGATCAAATTGAGATGTAAAAGGGCACAATAAAGTCTTACATTAACGAAATGTGAAAGAGCAAACGAATACATGAAGGGTTAAAATAAATAACATGCCATGCATGGCAGACTTTTGTTACCCACTCAAAGCACCTTTCTTCCCCTCACATTACTGAATAAACGACAGTAGTCTTTCCAAGTTAATATTTGCTTTCATAATAATTATCACGCAACCGGCGTTCGGCACCGTGTCGGTAGCGTTGTTTGGATAAGTAGGCGCAGGTGGTGATTGAGCCAACATTTGCGAAGGGTGAACTGTATTACTCGAATTGCAGTTCGTCGGAGGAATTGAACTGTTGACAAGATTTTCATTGTTTCCAACGTATCCGGAGGGCGGGTTGTAAAACGGTTCATTTTCGCTCGTGAAAACGTTATTATTACTGTGAGTACCGGGGAAAAAGAGTTGGTTTGGAGGTTGGAGAGAGATGCCATTGGAGCCTCTATTAACTGTTTGATTTAATAGAAGACCACTGTTTGCGTAATCCGGGTTTGTACCGTGCAACTGATTCCAAGGATGATCGTAATAGTAAGTATAATTAGGGTTCATATTAATATAATATTCCTGATCAGATGGATTGCTGGGTGTATAATTGTCGTGAATCGTTTGGTTATTAACACCGGCCATGTTCAGTTATAAGAACAAGTATAACGATAAGAGACAAACGGCGTTTGGTTGAAGATTAGACGGAATGTATGAGTAGGCTTACGTTCTTATATAAAACTACATCACTTTTCGGTAAATCATTAATAAATAATCGATGATTGGTCTATTTCTATGTACGAGTAGTAATCAAGATAAGAAAATATAGTTGCACAACAAATGTTGTTTTCGGGACGCAGATGGAAAATAGGCGTATGATCATAATGTAATGTAACATTCAGGAAGAGCTTAGCATTTCCTTGTACAATAATGTCGCTCATTAAGTTAAGTGAAGTGACGCCGCAGATCACTTCTTTTGTCGTTTTGTTCTATTTTTTGCACCCAGTCGCATTGGTTCATCCATAGTTTAATATTGTTCAAAGTTATATTTTATAAACAAAAATATGTATCCATGAATATTTCACCAGGGGAACGTTCTCCTAAGATTGTAACAGCGAATTATTGCGAGACATTTTGACTGCCTTTCAACCGTACGCGGACTAAGAATGGTAAACATGTCAAAAAATGAATTAGGATATGAATACAAACCGGATTCGACTTGACAATGGATTTGCGAATGTTTAATAGTCCGTTGTTTGCAAGAGAATCATTCACGTAATAAACATGTTTCCAATTTTTAGACATTTTATTTCCTCCCTTTACCCATCAAATACATACTGTATATTAGCTATATACTGTTATTATATGGATCGAATTTTTCTCCTGCATCTGTTCACATGAACATAAAAATGTTCATGACCAAAGCCTGAATGAAGCATACTTGCAAACTAGCAACGCTTTGATCTACTTGCGAATTCTCATCATACACAAAATACCAGTAAAAACACTACTCAGTTAGTTACGTTCGAGTTGCAAAGATTGTTGTAAGATTGCGAATCGATTTTACCCTGCGCGTATAAAGTGAGTTGGTATAATTGACGAGTCTGCCTCATATATGCAAGAATTAGAACTCTATCGTTTTGACTAACCTACCGGGTAATGTGATACATTCTTGTTCTTGACGTTTAGCATCTATAAGGTAAGAAGCGCCCAGAAATTACGAGCGGTATTGTTCTAGATATTTTCCATTGATACGAATGGAAGGCAAATCATCCGACGATGGAGTTGATTACCGCGTCTTGAGTTTTCCGAGTAATCTTATGAAATTTGTTCATGTAAATTTGAAGACAAACTGCCGAGTTTTGGCGACTATATAATCGCCAGATAATCCCTTTAAAGCCTGAAGCATCACATGCATCAAAGTTGTCAACAAGCTTTCGCAAGTGTGTTTACACGGAATCAATGCCTTTAAGCGTTTTCTTTTCACTGTCGACTTATGGTACAGCCAGTCTCCGTTAGATTATGAGTAGCCCTCGCCACGTCTTCGGGAAGTGAGTCTTGTTATTCCCAGAAACACAGGACATTCTTCCACATGATTCGATAATGTGATTGGTATGGGAGTTCTGACACTCTTATCGCCTTCGATACGTCTGTAGTTCATGCTTGCCCGTGAAAATTATTCTAATACAAAAGCAAACGATTAACTTTTGTACCAGTTGAAAATACGAAGCCTATCTAAGACAATTACCATCATAACTGAACGACTGATATCCATTTTCGCTATCACCATTCCAGACTGGCATTTGCGTAACAGATCCAAAGACGACTCTTATTCTTCGAATCCAACAGTCACGGAAACAAACGGTAACGTCAGAAGTAGATGTTTTTGTAGTATTTCTAACGCCCGATGCGATCAAAAGTAAATAGGAGACTAAGGAATGGTTTATTGGGTAAATTTGACGAAAGGTGGATAATAAAGAAGGATGACAAAGAGTGTACAAAAGTGCAAGGAGATGTAGAAGCGCAATGACAGATGACAGGAAGCGAACAATGAAGCGTTATCGGCGATTGTACTCGATGCATTCAAACACTACACTTTCCTTTTCGTATGCGGAGGAATGCGAACCGAACATGCGGTGAATTTGCAAGTGTTTTGTGATTCCATGTCTGTTTCTGCCACTCCATTACCACCTTGGCATTGCCACCTTCGTATGTGACTGACTCCAACTCCAACGCTGAGTAAGGACATGTCTTCTTTCAAGTAAACTGAGCAAGTGGGCTACGGCATTTTCAAGTCTGGCAAGGGCAATGTATGATTTTCCTGCCGTTGGGGCTGGGCAAGGTCACGGGATCTTAATTTATACAATTATGTTATGGTTAGTTGTTAATTGTTTAACATTGACAAATAAGTAAATTTTTTACAATGATGCATGTGGTATGCATTGGTAGGTTAGCGTTACATGCATGCATATATTGTAACCGTATACTCAGCAAAATCTTATTATTGTATATAAGTATGGCTGTTTTGTATGCTTGCCATCAACTATCAGACAAACGTCTCATAACATGTCTTCTTTTGTTCCGGCACCTCCGTCGTTCAATGATCAATCTCACATAGATCCATCTTCCACGAATACTTCAATCTTCAATACTGACTCGCTCACACCTTTTGAAATCGGTCTTTTGATGAACCCACCCTACATCCTTAATGTCGACCTTGACATTCTTCTCAATCCTACGTACTATCAACGCGAAAACTGTCTAAATTCGTTTGTCCTTTTTCGCAAAAATTTCTCAAGCGGACTACGCTCACAATTCCCTAATAAATCATATACCATTCACGAGATCTCAGAGATTGCCAATGATCAATGGAACATGCAACCCGACGCGGTCAAACAGTATTTTGGCGTCCTTTCTAAATTGGCCCAAGAACGACGCAGACTCGCTTTTCTTGCATACGTTTGCAGAACCAATCAGGGAAGGAGGAATGGGAAATTCTTGAATAAAAATACGTTTGCTCACCGTCGGAATAATAGAGTGCATGCATACAGAACTATTATGGATAACAATACGTGCAGTACTGTTCAAAATGTAAATAGATGCTACCAAGCAAATGACAACTGTATTCATCATAAAGTGTTATCCAGTTCATCTGTTATGATAATGTCGTCTTGTAATTGTAACCATACAATGACGAATTGTTTTACTTTGTTTAGTTTTCGTAGTTTTTTACCATATTAAATAACATTTATGAATAGTTGAAAGACTGTATGCATGCCGACTCTGAATAACAAGTCGCATATATCTATTAATAAGTTAACATTAAATAAAGTAAAGCATATTGTATTCGCATTTGAGAAAAGTTTGAAGTGTTAAAAGTTGAATATCAATAGAAAGAAAAAAATTTTTGTAGAAGGGTTTAATTGTTAACATGAATTTTTTTATATTTCTCTCCTCTTTGACTATGTTGAAATGAATTTTATAAGAAAAATTATATCAAACTTGGGTTGGAACGTTGCTACAGTAAACTCGTATCCAAGTTTTATTTTCTTTAACGCGCAGTAAACGTTCAGCCCAACGATGGGATTTAAACGCTCTATGTTCTTGCAATCGAGGCTAATTGTACAAGTACATTTAAATTGTGAACGTAAAGGAAATATAACGATAACGTCTTAATGTATATAATTAAGAAACACTATTTTGCATTAATATCTGTACTTGTATTGTTCGATCTTACGACGTAAGTTCAATGTATACTATGCTAAAGTCTTCTACCAAATTTTGATAAAATTATTGTTTGAGTTCGCAATAACCAATGGACAGACGATTAATTATTTCAAAAGTGCAGTATCACAATTCGGCATAGTAATACAGTAATAACGAGGTTTAATAGCGTACACCGTCAATAATATTGTGGCTGACAACATAAATAAAGTGCTTATCATCATCAGCACATCGTAAAAAGGGTAGATGTAACAGTTAGCGCTTCGCTTATGATCAAATCGATAATCTTGCGTACATCGATTTGTCCAGGAATCTTGCTTTTGTTTTAGAAAAAGCAGATTCTCACCAAAGGTATTCAACTGGCAATTGTTGCATCAAGGATTATGGGACGAATATTCAAATTTGAATTAAACATGTTTTGTAATAAAAACGATTGTAAGCGATTTACTTGTTAATAAATTTATTTTCCATGTTATTATAAACCTTACTCTTTAATTTGTTAAATTAAAGCAATCCAGACACGTATGACCAACGTTTCGACACGTACTATTTGTGTAAAAGAAGCAAAAACTTGGATGGATACATAAAATATAACATCTCCAACTACATGTGAAAGATAATTCAATATACCGAAATGATTTCCAAAAAGTTGCTGATAACAAGAAAAGTTAAATCGACCAATTAAATATATATGATTTCTACTCTCGTACATAACTGAATCATAGACAGCAACCTTTCCAGATCAATGTCTGCTTTCACAACAATTATCATGCATCTATAATCCGTTGTGTTTGTCATCGTGCCGGCGTGATTGCAAAGAGTCGGAGTGTGTGGTGTTCGACTTGATATTTGGGAAGGAGAATAATGAATGTTAGGTGAGTTATAGTTGGTCCAATTATCGTAAATAGGAAGAATTGAATTGTCGACTGTATCTTCATTGTATCCAACGCCACCATGATGCGCAGTATTATTGAGGATGTTATTATTGTCGAATAAACTGATACCATCGGGACAAACAACTTGACCGAGATGTTGGGGGACTGCTTGCCAGTATGGTTGTGACGACGGGCTGCCAAAGTTTGACGCTTGACCAGGATGGTAGGAATAAATGTCATTAAAACCCGGTTCATTCATGCTTGCGTGACAAGGGTCCATAAAAATAGTGTCTGTATAGTCCATACTATTTTCACAATTTTTGTGAAGTGACTGTTGATTAAAACTGGCCGTAATCGAGACTTGGAATGCGTATAAGGGCAAACGGTAAACTGTCTGGCTTTGACAAGTGTGTGTTAATACGACGGAAGAAGTCTCTCTCAACATTTATAGATACTAGCGTTCGGAGACAACTTGACTTTTTTTTATACAGTTTATACTATACATCGATACAAACGCCGCCGGTCCGTCCTCCAATTAAGGAAGTTGCCACATTTTAATTGTTGTGTCTTTGTAAAGTGTGAAATTTCCGCCCAATGAAAGCTATTGGGAATTGGCTATTATTATCGCGCAAAATTTTTTGTGGGTAATCAGTAGTTAAACAATGAAGGCGTATAAAAGCGAACTTTTGCAAAGTATTTTCTTTGAATCAATCGAAACCAACTGCTCTCATTTTCTATTTAGTTACGCAGAATGTCCGAAACCTTTTAAAGGAAGTTTATTTTTTGTGTTGTACATGAATGTCGAACCGCCAAGTCAAGTAAGTAAAAAAAACCGAAACACAGTTAACGTGGGAGGAAATTGTTTACGCAATATTCTTAGAGAATTCTTAAGAAGAAGAAGTTCTAAGCAAACAAGATTACTTTGTGAAGAAGAGAAAGCAATACTTTCAAATTCGAACCTGCTGATGCACAGGAAATTTGTTTATAAAAGGGCATGTGTGAAAAATGAAGGGTCTGTTAAACAAACTTGCACACATGTTGCGATCAGGCTCGCGGTAATCGTTGTTTGCAACGATGTCAATCCAAATACTCTAATGCTTGGCATTCATTCGGCTCCACGGGAGGGAAAAGAAAAAATATCTTCCTTTTTTTTACATCGGAGTAATCGCATCGTAACACAATTCATTATTTATACAGTTTATACCACGGAGCAAACAATTCCGAGGCCTTTATTTGGCAAAAGCAAAAAAATTTTCAATTAGTGATACAGATGATTCTAGTCGGAAATTGTATGTACGACAACAATGCCCACAAACGCCGGACATAATTGTAGTGTTATTTACATGTACTTAATTGAATTAACAAATTAACGAACAGCCAAGTTTGCTTGTACAATACGCTGTTTAAGTGTTGTTTATGGGATACTGTACTTGAACAAACTTGCTTCAAAATGCCTTATTGTAAAATCATTTTCAAGCCGAAATAAAAAATGTTTGAATGTGCGGAGACGGATGAAATGTAACGATGTATCGGAAGAATTGAATAGTTGGCTCAGTCCTCATTATTTTTATACGACGTGGTATTCATCGATTCATGTTCACCCATAATAATAAAACGAGATTGGGGAAGACAAGTTGAGAAGAGCTCAACTAAGAAATTGATATAATACTAACTATTTCATTGACGGAAGATTGTTGGAAGATATGCATCGATTGGATGATTAACACGGACCATGCCGAGAGGCCTGCTTGGAAATTCGATTAGATAAATGTACGAAAAACTACTTATGACAAGTATATCACAGAACGTTTGCTTATATACTGAAAGTGAGTCTACTTGTCAAACGCATGGGTGCATATTTGCCTGTACGGTCGAATATCCATAGACGTGTTCCTTATGAAAGGTTGTTTCTTAGATAGAGATGGTGCGACTGTATTTGTTAATAATATCACATTATTGTCGTAGCATAAGAAAACGTCAGAATCGAACTAAACTGTATCTTAATAAGGAAAACGGAAAAATAAATATTCAAAATTGATGACCAATCGCACAATGAAATTACTGTGCGTCCGTAGAAAAACTATTTCTGCATTCAAATGTGCCAGGCGAAGGCCATAACTTACAAGAGCATCAGTAAAAACCAAGGGGGAAACATGAAAAAATATCTAATTCGATATAACAAATAATAATAATTACCCGAACTACCAATACCACATAATTCGATATATAAAAAACAAAGGACAATCATATAACATTTCTATCATCCCACATAATTGAATGATGGACAGTAGTCTGTCCAGATGGGCATCCGCTTTCATGACCATAATGATGCATTCAGGACTCGTAACGTTTGACATCATGCTGAAATTGTTGGAAAGAGTAAAAGTAGACGATGTTTGATCTGCGGGTGAATCATATACTGTTCGGTTTTCGTTGTTTTCAATGTATCCGCCATTAGACGTAGTATTCGACCGTTCATTTTCGCCCGTGTAGATGCCGTTATCGATGTCCAAAAGAAAAGAAGCTTGACCGGAAGTCTGGGTAGACGCTTGAGAGAGCGGATAGGAGTAGGCGTCACTGACGTTGACACCGGCTGCTTGCCCCGACGGAATACTGTTTGCATAATTCGAGTCCATGTTATGCATATAGTCCAACGGAGGAGGACTGTTTGTGTAATTGGAATCCATGTTATTCGTGTGGTCCAACGGAGGACTGTTTGTATAATTAGAATCCATTTTTGACCTGACGGAATACCATATGTATAACTTCTGTTATTTGTTGTGCGTTTCGCTCGTGTCATAGGTACCCCCTATATATATATATCGTTTGTCACGTGGTGGTTTTGCTCTTTTAAACTCTAAAAATTTTTTCTGGTGATACGAAACGTCAATGATAGTTTAATAATAAGGATAATAAGGAAAGTCAATAGCGTGAAAAATCGTTTATAACTGTTGCTAACATTGCCACCCAATTAGATTGGTCTGATGTGTGTGTGTGTGGGTAACGTAACGTACATACAATGCATCTGATACAAGTTTCGCCTGGAACAATTTATACTAAAAATGGTAACCGTGGAGCAATGAATAACGTCACTAGTGTTAATTAAAATGCAATCAAAGGGACAATAATAATAACATCACATCACCAATTACATTTATACATAGCTTTGTCGCACAGAGAAATTCATGTGATCGAATTTTTCACAGCGTAGTCCTTCGCTTTGCTCTGGACAAAGAATGCGGCGGCTGACTGTGTAACGATCGTCACCCATTTTAATTTGTAACCAAAATCAACTTATGGCGGTATTTTGAACTCGTTTATATAAATAAATTCGATTAAACTTCTGTATGCGGTTGAGAATCTTATCGTAGTATGATAACCTATTATTAGTCATATGAGTGTGTCGC